GCGCCAGCCAACTGGGATCTTCTCTGCAGGCTAGGCGCGCTGCTGAAAATGGCCAACATGCCGTTCCTCATCTTCGGGGACTTTAATCTCGAGCCCGACGTGCTCCAGCATTCAGGCTGGATTGATGCAATCGACGGTGCTGCCATATACACGGATGCTGGAACTTGTGCTCCAGCGCACAGGACCATCGATTTTTTCGTTGTCTCCCAGGCGTTTGCGGCGAACGCCTCGGTCTCACTGTTGGCAGAAGTGGAGATCACTCCGCATATTCCAGTAAAGTTGAAGTTACCCACCTTGGACACTGTACCCTCGGTGCGCATGGCTATGGTTCCCCGCAGGTTCCCCAGAGAGTGCCCATTGGTTGCCGTGGAGAGCCCAACTTAGCCAGGTGGGAGGTGGCGTCGGAGATGATGAACAATGCTTGCATATCTAAGTCGTGGCAAGTTTTCGTCTCGGCTGCCGAGCTCGAATGGTTAGAGGTGTTTCAGATTCCCGCTGAGCTTTCGAAACCGTACCTTGGGCGTGGTGGTGATGTTCGTACTGGGTGGTGTCGACCGAGCCGGCCTGCTCCAGTTCCGTTTCCACGTCTGAGCCCTCAAGCTGTGTGGTGGAGAGCCTTGGCCCAGGTCCTCAAGACCCTCACGAGGCCCATCAGCTTTGCCCAGACCAAGCAAGTGCGGTGCAGAATCCGACATCTTCAGAGCTCGCCCGATGTTCCAGATTCGAATCTCGCGGTCTGTTTCCTGGAGGCCCTTGATCGGTTTCACGTCTTTGATTACGTAGTCATGGACTATTTCGCCGCCGTCGCCAGCGACACTGCCGAGCGCCTGCGCAAGCAGGCAACCCAGCTGAAGATAGTCAACTGGGACCGATGGGTTAAAACGCATTCGGTAGGTGGGGCTGCGGCGCTCTTCAAGTATGTGCAGCTGCCTGACCCTTGGCAGCCGTCCACCCTCGACTCCTTCACCCTCCGTCCTAACTCCAGCATGGGGGAAATGGATGAGCTTGAAAGGGAGTGGAGCAAGTGGTGGCAGGTGGGGGTCGCGCAGCCCCCCGTGCACTGGCCAGAGGATCTCGGAGAGCGCCCGCCTCCCCCCACGGTCCCAGAGCTCAAGAAAGTGTTGATGTCTTTCCCGATAGGCACTGGTTGTGGATACGACCAGGTCCCGCCTAGGAGTTTTCTGCACTTGCCCGACGTTGCGCTCGAGCTTTTGTGCGGCCTCATCGGGAAGATTGAGGAGCAGGCGGACTGGCCTCCCCTCACGAACAAGATTGTTTTTATTCTCAAAAGATTGGGAGGAGTCCGACCTTTGGGGCTGCTACACGTTCTCTGTCGGGTGCAGTCCAGGCTGAGAAGGCCTTTGATCAGGCAATGGCAAGTCAAGAACTATCGGAGTTTCTGGTGGGGTACTAAAGGGAAAAGCGCTGACATGTGTGTGTACATTCAGGCAGTGTGGGCGGAGTATTATCAGTCCAAGGGCCTGTCATCTGCTACGTTGCTGCTCGATTTGAAGAAAGCGTTTGAACTGGTCAAGCATCATCATCTTGTCCAGGCGGCCGCTCGCACTGGATTTCCGTTGTGGCAACTGCGTTTGCTTGTGCAAGTCTATCGGTCGCCCCGCCTGCTTGATCTCCAAGGGACTGTCAGTAATCACATCACGGCGGAAACCACGATTATCCCTGGGTGTGGTTTTGCTACTGTTTTGCTGCAACTGGTTTTGCTGGGCCCCCTGGATGTTGTTCAGAAAGAGTTTCGGGCCATCTGTCTTTCCGTGGTTGTCGACGATTTTGCGTTGCAGAGATCGGGGGAACACGGCCGAGTAGTTGCTGATGTAGCTGGTGCTGGAGTGAAGCTTCAGTGCGAGCTGCAGCGTGTTGATCTACGGCTCGCTCTTGATAAGACGCGAGTTCTTGCTAGTGACTCTGATTTACGTGACCAGCTGTCCAGGAGGCTGGTATCGCTTAGGGCCCAGGGCGTGAACCATGAGCGCAACTTGGGGGTTGACTACAGTTCAGGTCGGTTTCTCAGGAGGGCCACCAGGACGGGCAGAATCAAGGTCGCCAAACCCAAGCTCAAGAGAATGAAACATCTCCAGGGAGGTATGGCCAGGCGGAAAACCATGGCCATCATGGCCAGGGCGGCCCTGGAGACTTCGGTTGCTTTTGGGACCTCCGTTCAGGGTACTGCCTCTAAGGAGCTGGACGTGTTGCGATCCCAGGCCGCTGCGGCGCTCGACGCCAAGACCAGCGGCAAGAGCCGCACTCTCGCTCTCGCGCTCGCGCCGCAGGCCAACTACGACCCGATTTGGAGGGCTACTCTGGAGCCTATCAAAGCTTTCAGCTCTATTCTTTGGGCGTCGCGCGTGCCATGCCATGTACTTGAGCATGGCCTTGAGGCTGCTAGATTGGCTTTGTCTGGGAAGGACCAAATGTGGCCGCAAGTTCGGGGCCCCTTGGGAGCCCTCTTCGCTACGCTCGCCAGAGTCGGGATCGTCGTCGTTGAGCCTCTGGTCTGGAAGTTGCCTGATGGTCTGGAGCTGAAACTCAAGGACATTTGCCCCAGGGTCCTACTGCACTGCTGTGCGCATGCGGTGCGCCACTGGGTCAACCTGCAGATTTCGGAGCACCTCCAGATGCCTGAGTTCCGTACTGGGTTCTGGGATGGGCCTCTGAAGAACCTCCTGAGCGCCAAGGGGAACCTCTCTTGGCAGCAGCGTGGCTACCTCAGGAGTGCTATCATTGGAGCTCAGTGGCCCCAAGATCGGCAATTTCAACAAGGATGGATTGACTCCCCGAGTTGCCTTGCATGCCATGAGGCCCCTGGGCCCCTCGTGCATCGGCACGCTGTTTGCAAGAGCATGCTTGAGGCAATAGGAGAGCCACTCCCTGATGCAATCAGACTCATGCTCCCGCATGCAGACCAGAATGACCTGGCGCGCCTGTTGCTGGAGCGTGTGCTCGTCCCGCTCCCCAAGGCCCCTCAGGCAGTGCTGCTGACGCCGTCGGAGCCCTGTGTGGAATGGCACGGGGATGCGCAACAGCTCACAGGGGATCTTTATCTTGATGGCTCTCTGTTTACTGATTATCCACATCGCGGGACCGCTGCATGGGCAGTTGTTGCGCTGGCCGCCGACAGTGACACGGCTGCCTGCACCATCACAGGTCTCCTGCCCTACCCGCTGCAGGACATAGACGGTGCCGAGCTGTATGCCCTGTTCGCAGTGCTCAGATTTGCGGTGCCACCTGTTGTCGTGCACACGGATTCCGATTTCGTTTGGAAAGGTTACAATATCCGCGGACCTGCTGACACCACGTCGGCGTCGGCGGCTTGGGCCTGTCTTTGGAAGCTCGTATGGCACAAAGTCGATGACTGGGGGGGTACCCCCCCTGAGGTAAAGAAAGTGAAAGCCCACGTGACAGATGTTCAGGTTGCGGAGGGGAGGTATAAGCTTCGAGACAAACTTGGAAATGATGCCGCCGACGGTGCTGCGAACAGTCGTGCTCGTGTCCTGCGGCCCGATCCCCAGTTTCAGAAGCTTACGTTGATGCAGAAGAGAATGGTCAGTCTTACGGGGAAATGGGCCGCCAGGGCGGGTGAGGCCATTGCATCTGTAGACTGTTTGCACCGCCAGCGCTCTGCACGTTCAGCCCCCTCCCTAATCATTGTCAAGCCAGAGCCGCCCACCTTAGAGCAAAGGATCCAGCAGGCTCAGGTTTTTCTGAAGGCCGCTGGGTCCAAGCATCATCGTGTGGCCTCGCTGTTCGTGGGCGAAACCCAGGTGTTTTGTTGCACTCACTGCGCTGCATGCACCACCCAGCGCGTGGTGTCTCTTGCGAGTGAGTGCCAGCCCCGTCATCTGTCGAAGGATCGTCGCCTTATCCTGGAACGATTGAGACGGGGCGAGTACTGTTTAGCCAAGAGGGTTCTGAGGTATGCAGGTTATCGCCTGCTCCCAGAGCCCTAATCCTTGTCATTGACAACGGGGGGCGCGGTGCGAGTGGGGACTGCCCGGCGTTGCGCCGTTAGTGACCCTCGCACCGTTGCTCCTCGGCCCCGCGCACGGCGCGGAGTGTGTCCGATGGGCGCGGCTAATGGCGGTTGCAAGGTGCGCCCCTAGCCGCGTTCGAGGTCCTGCTGAGGCACCATAGACTCTGTGGCGCCCCAGGCGGTGCCCAGGAGGAGGAGGAGGAGGAGGAGGAGGAGGAGGAGGAGGAGGAGGAGGAGGAGGAGGAGGAGGAGGAGGAGGTGGGGGGGGAGGAGGAGGAGGGGGGGGGGGGCGGTGGGAGGGGAAGAAGGGAGAAGGGAAGATGAAGGGGGAGGAGATGGAGAAGGAGGGGGAGGAGGAGAAGGAGGAGGAGAAATACGAGAGGAGGAGGGGGGGGGCGGAGGAGGAGGATGAGGAGGAAAGAGAAGAGGAGGAGGACGAGGAGGAGGAGGAGAAAGAGGAGAAGGAGGATGAGGAGGAGCAGGGGGAGGAGGAGGAGGAGGAGGAGGAGGAGGATGGGGGGGGAGAGGAGGAGGAGGAGGAGAAGAGGAGGAGGAGGTGGAGGACGGTGGAATGCGGAGGGAGGGCGAGGAGAGGAGGAGGAGGAGGAGGAGGAGGAGGAGGTCAGGAGGAGGAGGGTCCTGAGGGTCCTGATGATTCGGGTTTGGTCTTCGCCCCCTGGCGCGCTGGCCGCGCCGCCCTGCGTATGCCGAGCAGCGGATGCTGGGCCCGATGGCCCATCAAAACAATCGGCAGGCTGCCCGCTACGACACCTGCCGCCAGGCAGGATCAATGGCAGGTAGCCCGAGCCGCCGCGCGAGCCACGGCTCGGCGGAAGAACCCGTTTTTCGAGCGGCGCCCAGCGGCGTCAAGCCGCCCCGAGCGGAAACAGCCCAAGGGCCCCCCCCTCAAAAAACAAGAAAAAAAACGAAGCGAATCCAGCGAATGCGACAAGACGCCCACCATAAGAACCCGCCACCGAGGGCCTCGCCACACGCCGAAGGTGGACACGACCTAGCCGAAGGCCTCGCGCAACTTGGAGGCAATGGGGGCCCCGAACCTCACCTCCGCGAGCTGCAGGAGAGCCTCGGTGGGAATGTCACCCTCCGACTGGTAGAACTTGCCTAGCACCTTGAAGCCCCTAGCGCCGGCGCCGCCCGTGCCCTTGGACTTGCCAGCCGAGAGCGGAAGACGCACTCCTCCAGGACGAAACTGGGTCGCGACGCGGACGAACGCCTCCGCCCGACCCTGCGCGATACGGGCCCCCTCACGGTCATCGTCGGCGCCGCGCTCGTCGGACGTCACCGCGGAGAGGCTGACGATGCTCTCCGCCACCTCCGACATCTCAATGATCTTCTTGCTGTTGCACTCCTCGACGTCGCAGCCTTGGCTTTTCTTCAAGACATCGCCGTCGCGCAGCCCCCCGAAACTGCTGCTGACCTCCACCGCGTGCGTGACCTCGAACCCCTCCTTGGCGGGCTTCTCCGTGAAACTCAGGTCGGGGAAGGGCGGTACGTCGGGCAGCTTTCAAGTCTGCCATCTTCTGTTTGTCCTCATCCTGTAAGCCTCCACCCTTCTGCAAGGTGTCGAGACCCCAGAACTCACTCTCAAAAATCGCCAAACCGTCGCAACGCTTTGCGCCGTGGTACTTGTCATAGAAGTCGCTCCGAATGCTGGGCGCGTCGGCCTCGTCGCCAGCGCCCTCGACCTCCGCGTCGGCGATGTCGCCTAAACCCATGGCAACACGCCTCCAGCCAGCGATCGCCTCGTCCATTACAATGAGGCAGAACTGGGTGACTTCAGCAGCCGTCAGCGCGCAAGTGTCCTGACCCATGGCCTCCTCGTTGGCATCGCCACGGGCTCCATCACCGCCTCCTCCGAGACCACCTAGAGTTCCGCGGCGTGCTGGTCCTGGAGCCTCTTGACCTCGGGCGGGGGAGGAGAGCTGCACTCCCAGCACATCGCCCTGATACCGAAATTCACAAATCTGAACATCCCGCACCTCCACTTCGAGACTCGGGCAATGGGCACGCCTCTCTTGGCCGCCTGGGAACGGTCCACCAGCGACGTCGACGGCGACCTGCGAGTGTGCTTGCCCTTGCTCTCGTTCTTGGACTTCTTGTCCTTCTTGGATGTATGTCCCTTCTTCTTGGCGCGGGAGCGCGAGCTCGCTCTTAAACTCGAAGACTCCCGAGCCCTTTTGCGTCTGCGCTTCTCCCGCGCCTTGTCCTTGTTCTTGTCCTTCTTCGCTGCGATGGCCTCCACCGCCTCCTCGAAACCGGACGGGTCCTTCTCCTTCGTCGGCGCCTGCGCGTGCCCCGGGGGAGGATCTCCGCGTTGAGTTCCCCCTCCTGCTGGCTGCGCATCTGCAACTCCGCGGTCGGCGGCGAGGCAGGCGGCTTCGCCCCCTCGCCAGTCCGCTGGCGGCAGCGCCGTGCCCCACCAGCCCTGCGGGGCCTCCTCGATCACCTGCGTGAACCCGTAATGGGAGATATTGCTCTTCTCCTTCTCCTTCGGGGGCCTCGTCGCAGAAGCTCCAGCCGTCGTCCACGATCCTCCTGGAGACGGATACCTTCTGGGAGGCGTGGATGGCGCCACTGCGCCCTGTGCCGCAGCCCTTGCCGCCATCGGCCTTAACGTCCAAGACAATCGCGTCGATGGCGAAGCCGAGGCCCTCGACGAAGCCCTTGGTGCGCTGCCCGAGTTCCACGCCGATGGTCTCATGCGTCGCACGGACCTCGAGCGTCATGCTGAAGAATCCATGGCGGCTCGGGCCCGCTGCGCCCCTTTCAAGATGCGCGGGCCCACCCCCTCTGGCCCTAGAGGGGGAAAAAGGGGCTAGGAGGAGGAGGAGGAGGAGGAGGAGGAGGAGGAGGAGGAGGAGGAGGAGGAGGAGGAGGAGGAGGAGG